GATCAGGATGCAGCCATTCCTCCCTGAGGACCTCATTAGAACTGTCTCAGTCCCTCTCCCTGCTCTCAGGGACCCAGGCTGCCTTGCATTTCTGAGTTGATGATCTCCACCATACCTTCTCTCTAACCTGACACTGGAAGTTGTTTCCTGTTGCAAACTGTTCTTTCTAGAACCTAACTTCCCACACCAGCAGAGGCCACCTCTACAGCCAACATAACCTTGCCATACTCAGGCAGTGGGGGCCAGCTGGGTTTCACAGGCACCCACCCTGGCTGTGTACCATAGCGTGCTGACAATCTGCACTCCTGCACCCGGTCTTCTTGTTTGAGACCCAGACTCTTGCAATCTAGGCTTCCCTCAAGCATCAGTGCTTCTAAGATTCCCGTCTGGGACCCAGCCACACCCTCTTTCCAGGGATCTGAACAGCCCCCTTCACCTGTAGCCACACTAACCAGATTTATTAAACATTATTTATTCCTTTGGAAGAGGTAAAGTGATAAATATTGCACATGTAAGGAGACCCAGGCAAAGTGGTTTCTGCAGCAAGACAGCAGGCCTAGGAGGCTGCCGGGACCTGAGCTGGCTCGATCTTGGGATGGAACGCTGCAAGCCCACGTCTTCTTTGGGGCAAGAAGTTCCCAGTGCCTTCAACCAGAATGGATCAGCTGCAGAACAGATGGTTCATCTCACATGGATTCACAGAGCAGACTCCTCCAGGAATTCTGATTGGCTGCCCGTGGTTGAGGTGCCCAGTGTCTGTCACCCTCCGTGTGCCAGGACCAGACGGCTTGCAGGCTGCAGTGGGCCCGCCCAGGTGCATGTGGCAGGCAGATCCTGTGCAGGCTAAACATATGTTGAAGCAGGGTGGGTCTCCAGGCACAGCTTTCACAGTCTGGCCGGTCTCACTGTGGCCAACTCTGGCAACTGCAATCCAACAGCTGTGTCAAAACTCCCCAAGCCCCGCCCCCTACACCAGGCCAGGGTGAGGTTTCTGTCAGGGGCGGGGCTGAGAAATAAATTACAAGCTGAAATAAATAGCTTTGATTGGCTGGCCTCAGGAGGCTGCTTAGCAACTGCCAGCGATCCTGATTGGCTGCTCTTAAGTCTATAGCATAGCAAAACTAATGGCCTAGCAGAAATAATAGCCTATCAACAACCAAGAGTCCAGGTAGGAGATTCAGTTGCCACGATTGACACCTTGCCATAGAGGAGGTGGAGCTTGGCACCCTGCCAATGTCAGACCTGGTAGTAAATGGTCAGGGTGATGGGTAGCTACCACCTGGCACAGTAGCCTGCCAGGCCTCTGGAGTGCCTAGGACCAGTGGGTCAAGTTGTGGCAACTCAGCTGGTGGGAACAACCCGAAGCTGGGAGTCAGGGCTTGCAGGTGAGCCAGGGCCCGAGGTCCATTGAAGGCCACATCACAGCCAGACTGGGCTAGAAGCCAGCTCTCCACTTCAGACTGTAGCCACTTGGAGGTCTCTGTGAAAACAAACTATGTTCAAGCTGGAGCTAGAGGAGACCTGAGAATGAAGAAAAATGGGGTGGGCCCAGGGAAGGCAGGGAGGGCCTGGGGGGACAGCAGGGAGGGCCTGGGAAGTAATCAGGAAGGCCTAGCAATAGCAGGAAGGACCTAGGTGACAGGGAGGGTTTACCTTCAGGTAGGCCTTGGGCGCCCCCTGGCCTGCGGGCTAAGAAACTGTGAGCCAGCAGGGCCTCTTTGATGTGTTCCTCTTGTGCACGGAGTGCCAGGGCACTGAGCAGTTCTGAGTTGTTGGATGTGCTGCGATAGTACAACATGTGTGCCAGTTCTAGCGCCTGGGCACTTCTACGCTGCCCAAACACCTGTAGGAACACAGGCTTAGAAACAGAGGTGCAGGGACACTCAAAACCAGAGTGCCCTGGCAGCCTCGGTTGGGGCTGAGGCCAAAATGCACCACCCCCTGCTTTGCTATCTGGCAACACATTAATGGATTTGTGCAAAGATTTTAAACATGAGTTTTAGCCTAGGAAATTCCAGTACCAATATGTCACTGTCAAGTATTCTCCCATTATTTCCAGATGACATGTCTAAGATTTGCTTTATAGTGACCCAGTACAGAGAGACTATGGTGTTGTGATGCAATCAGAAAACTGGGTGCTAGCTACATGAGAATTCAGGCTACGGTATTTCTGCATCTATTTGAACCTTTCCATAATTGAAAAAGAACAATTGAAGATACTACACTGTAAAGAAAACTACAGGTAAAGGGCACTACTGGTGCAGCCTGAACCCTCCACCACCTCCCAGCCCTCTCCCACACTGCACACCCACTTTTAGCCAGGATGGATGAGCTCAAGGTAATCCTGTGCTTTTGTGTTGCCTCTGCCATCCCCTACAAGCTCCAAGCCTTGACTGAATGGCCTGGAGAAGCACTGTCTGTACTACAAGGTTGGTGCTGCAAGGGCCCAGGAAGTCAGTACACATGACAGACAGTGTAAGGACTGAGATGCTATGCCCACCTGTGCCAAGAATTCAACCTGAACTGACACAGCTGGGGACCTCACAACATGGCTGAGTGGCTGGAACTTCTGAAGAGCCCACACCATGGATTCTATCCCTGCCCTAGAGCCAGTTGCCATAAAGGCAGGAATCCTGTGCTAAGGACCATCATGCATGCAACAGTTAGTTGGGTCTCCTGTCTTCACCTGCCGAGACTAGTGCTAAAGGAGCACGCCACACACTGGCCTGCAAACACACTCCCCAATCACCCACTCCCCTGTTCTGGTCACCCTACTTTCTGTGTCACAGTCCACAACCTATCACCATCCTCATCCCTCCTGGCCAGCTTGTCTGTCCATGACCCATCCTTCTCCCTGCCTCCTCCCTGGCTTCATCTCCCATCCCCTTGAAGTCAGACAGTATCACCTCCCTGGCTTAGACTCTGCGTCTCCCAACCCAGTGCAGCCCACACTGTATATACTGCTGTGCCCACATTCCCCCTGTCCCCGTAGATCCTGGTCTTCAAATGAGCAAGCCCCACAGTCTGTTCTTAGAAAACACTGCCTCTTCCTCGAGGCTGCCCAGACAGTAGATGCATCCTCAGGCTCCTGCAACCCACGCTGCCACATCTGTGTCCACAGGCCTTCAGCCCCAGGAAGGGCCTACATTTCTCCATAGCCTCCAGCTTCCCCTGTCCTGCTCTGCACAGAGAAGACAGGCAAAAGGTAGGGTGTCCAGAGACCCATCCAAGACTAAGTGATCCAGGCAGGCCTCAGGGAGCTGATGGCCTCTGGACAAGGGATAAGGAATGCACAGGGGTGGCTAGCCCAGTGACAGCGAATACACTCAGAGGGACAGCACATGTGAATGCAGAGTTTGGAGAAGAAGGAGAGGTCAGGTGCCACAGCACACCAAGAGCAGAAACTAGGGGTGGAGGTGGTATAGTAATGGTGAAGGACTGTAACCAACCACAAGGTAAGCTGAACAGGAACCCCACCAGACAGTGAGAAGGCAGGGTAGGGCTTGCCCTGGGTGGAGTTGGGAATGGGCTGCAGGCCCACCTGGAGGCTGGGAACAAGGCAGGCACAATGGTCATGTTCCCACAAAGAGAAGATACGGGAAATGCTGGCTGTAGCAGCCAGTGAGAAGCACTGCTTCAGGCCCAGCTGGCCAGAGACTCAAGGTGGAAGAGCTCCCCAACAGGAAAGGGGTCTGCACCCTGCTCCAAGACAGGAGTGGAGAAGCCAGGCAGAGAGCCTATGATTCCAACAGGCTGAGACAGAAAAGGGTCAACAGACCCAGAAACACTGACCCACAGAAGGGATGAATACTTGGCGACATGGATGGCTGGGCATTCTAGTGGGCCAGTTGGGGCTGGGATCCCAACTGGAGTATGAATAAATGGTAATTAGAGGGGCTGGAGAGATGGCTCAGAGGTTAAGAGCACCATCTGCTCTTCCAGAGGTCCTGAGTTCAATTCCCAGCAACCACATGGTGGCTCACAACCATCTGTAATGAGATCTGGTGCCCTCTTCTGGTGTGCAGATATACATGGAAGCAGAATGTTGTATACATAACAAATAAATAAAATCTTTAAAAAAATAAATAAATAAAAATGGTAATTGGAGGACCAAAACTGGATAAATTGGGCCCTTCTACCCCCATAAGGCTCTGTAGCCAACTAGGCTCACCTTGGACAGTATCTCCTCCCCAGGACACTGGGGTGCCCTCACCCCTTCCCCAGGGGACACTTTGTTGCCCTCACTGGACCCCCTGCTCTCAGTCTCACCCCTACTGTGCTGTGCCACAGCAGCTCCTCCCTGCTTTTAACCCTGAGGAGAAAGCCCAGAATGTGTGGGCATGGGCCACCCTGGCCACACTGGGCCTTGTTTAAAACCCTGCTGCGCACTCCTCTCCCCACCCCTTGTGCTGCCCTTAGTATCCAGTCTCCCTGGTGGTCTTCATGGCCTAGCCATTCTTTGTATGATTTATCACAGGGCTCCCTGAGAGAGAGCCCTCAAAACTGCTGAAAGCAGCTTGGGAACTAATGAGCTGGCAAGTAAATGATGGGATACGCACAGCTTGTGGCAGGCAGCACTCCTGAGGTAGTGCAACCCCAGAAGAACTGAGAAAGGCCAACCTTCCCATCTATTTCAGCCAACAGGGGGTGCAATGGCAAGGAGAACACAAGTTGGGTGTCAGCCCCACCTGCCCTCTTGACCCTGAATCCTAGCTGCTGGGTAACACCTACATGAGGAGGCCCTGAACTCCATGCTGCAGCTCAGAGAGGAAGCTTATTAACTATACAACTTCCTGGCCCAGACTTCCAGTTTCTAAACCTATCTTTGGGGGCTGGAGCTGGCTCTCTTAGTGATCACAGTAGCCCTCCAGGAAGGAAACTCAGGGAACAAAGAATCCGACTGTAGTAACCATAATCACCTCAACAGTGACCTCACATGCTCAGACTGACTCATTTATTCCTTGCCCACGCCTCTACCTCAGGTCCTGTCATCATTCTCATTTTGCAGTATAGGAGCTGGGGCAGAAAGAAGTTAAGCAATTTACTTAAGACCATAGCTGGAGAACAGTAATCATATTCAAATCCTGCCAGTCAAGCTCCAAAGTATATACCCTTCGGAATGTCCTTAAAATGCCTGCACTCTACTATGACCGAGGCACTGGGAATAAGAGCCCTGCCTATGTGAAGGTGCTGATAAATGAAGGAAGGAGTGGGTAAGGGCATTGTGTACCAGGACGAACAGTGCAGGGAAGAACTAAAAGGACAGGGGGCTGGGCTGGGCAGTCAAAGAGGCAGGGACCCAAGGTACTCACCTTGGAGGCCCTCAGGCCCATGAAGGCAGCAAAGAGCAGCAGCAGCAGGGAGGTGGCCATCTTGAGGTCAGACAGTATCACCATGCCAACATTGACGAAGAACACAACTCCAGAGACCACCAGCATCAGGTTGAGCAGGGCACGCTGCAGCATGGGTGTGCGCACCTTCAGCTCTGGAAGCAGCTGCTCTAAGCCCTCCAGTGGGGTATCCTTGAAGCTCTTCAGAACCAGGTGCCCACGTTTGGTCCGGGCTGCCAATACCACACGCTTGAAATATCTCCTGAGGGCCAGAAAGGAGGGCGTGAGTGCAGAGTGAGGAGTGTGAGCGCCAGAGCCCTCTCAGCTTGTGATGGATACTCTTGGTTGTCACCTTGACCACATCTGCAATCAACTAAAACCCAAGCAGTTGGGCACTCCTGTGAGGGAGTACTTGACTAGACTGTTGACATGGCAGATCCATCCTATCCCTTGCAACCACCTTCTAGTGACAGCCTATATAAAAGGCCTGGTGGCACACACCTTTGATTCCAGAACTCAGGAGCAGAGGAAGGTGGATCTTCCTGAGTTCAAGGCCAGCCTGGTCTACATAGGGAGTTCAGGCTAATTAAAGTAACATAAAGGAAGACCATGTCTCTAAATAAATGAATAAAGGTCAGGAATGAGGAAGCCTTTACTTTTTGCCTGCTTGCTCTCACTCTCAATGACAAATCTATTCTGTTGCTGAGGCATTCCTCTTCCTAACTTCAGGGTTTCAATTGGCAGCTCTCCAGAAACCTCTAGGGCTGAACAACTATTGGATTCTTACCGTTTCCATCATGATTACAGCCTGGAAGCTAATCTAATAAATCACACACACACACACACACACACACACACACACACACACACGCACGCGCACACACACACACAAAATCAGCTCTGTTCTTTTAAAGAACTCTGACTAGCCAGGTGGTGACACACTTGGCAACTACCTTCTAGCCTGGTGGCGCACACCTTTGATTCCAGCACTCAGGAGGCAGAGGCAGGCAGATCTCTGTTAAATTCAAGTCCAGCCTGGTCTACAAAGCGAATTCCAGGACAGCCAGAACTACACAGAGAAACCCTGTCTCAAAAAAACAAGAAAAAAAAAAAAAAAGAATTTTGACTAATACACACCTAAAACTTCACATCTCCATGTGGAATGGCCTTTTAGAAAGCTACTTGATCGCAAGGAGTTGGAAGTCACATGTTCAACCATGGGGTACTGGTTAATTATATATTCCTATTATTGGACCTATCAGTTGTTCATCAAAAGCATGGCTGTGTCACTTCTTCTGGATGTGGCCTCCTCTCCCTGGCTCTCAGTTTTCCTCATCCTGCTCTTCCTCTAGGAACAGTAGTTCTCACTCTCTCGGGAAGAAAAGGCTGCATTTTGACAATCTGTACCTTCCATTTCTGCACTTCTCCCTGGGGCCCAAGACACCAAAGCCAGACACTAACCTGTCAGTCCCCTCTCAACTCAAAGCTTGTTCCCCTTTGCTGCAACTGGGGAACGGGGCCTCCTCACCTCTCCACAGGGGGCAACTTTCTGAAGAAGCCACGCTTGGAGCCCACACTGGACATGTGGGGCATCTGCCCAACTCTCTGGCCCAGGGCCCAGAACTGCATGTAGATATATTGATCCAAATTTATTGTCACCTGCCAAGGGGGAAAAAGGAAGCAGAGTAGCTGAACATGAGTCGGGTGTTAAGGGCGGGGTGCCAGAATACACATCCTACCCAGAAATGGACCCTGTCTTTTGTTGCTAATCATGCAGTGTGTAGGTAGAGGAGTCATGCATGACTATTCATGTACATTGCATGGGGTTGGGCCTGCACACAGGAGACATCTTAGAATCTAAAGTAGCGCTGGTTTTAAGAGTTTCCATTTATGAAGTAACTACAAAGACAAGACATTGTCACTTGAACTATGACTCTCCATCACTGGCAGATCACATCCTAAAATATGACAGAATATGTCTAGACAAAATACATCTTGAAGTTCACTAAAATGTGGAACTGGAAGGTTTAGCATTTCTTCAGTTTTGTTGACCTGGTGGAAGGAGGATAGGGAAATTTTTTTGGTTGTTGTTATTTTTTGGTGGGTTTTTTTAGAGACAAAAAAATTTTCAGGGAATATTGAGACAGGGTTTCACTATGTAGTCCTGACTGTCCCGGAACTCACTATGTAGACCAGGCTGGGCTATAACTCACAGAGATCCACCTGCCTCTGCCTACCAAGTGCTGGGATTAAAGGGGTGTGCCACCACACCCAGCCTTTGGATTTCTTTTTAAGATTTAGTTTTATTTTATATGTATAGGTGTTTGGTCTTCATTTATGAAAGTGCACTGCAGTTTAACAGTGGTGGTGCACACCTTTAATCCCAGCACTCAGGAGGCAGAGGCAGGCAAAGCTCTGTGAGGTTGAGGCCAGCCTGGTCTACAGAGTGAGTGCCAGGAGAGTCAAGGCTACACAGAGAAATCCTGTCTCAAAAAAACCAGAAAAAAAAAAAAAAGAAAAGAAAAGAAAAGAAAAAGAAAAAGAAAGAAAGAAAGAAAGAAAGAAAGAAAGAAAGAAAGAAAGAAAGAAAGCACTGCAGACATGCCTGGTGCCCATCTGTAAAGGCCAGAAAAGGGTACTGAATCTCTTGGAACTGGAATTACATACTGCTATAAGTAGTCATGTGGGTGCTAGGAACAGATGACCCTGGATCCTCTGAAAGAGCAACAAGTGTCCTTAACCATAGAGCCATCTCTCCAGCCCCTGGAATGCATTTTATACTGTTTATCATAGAATTCTATCAGGTGGCAGCATGGCACTTGACCCTGAGACCCTCATCTGATGGTCCTTTCCTGACAGGGCACCCAAGTGGCTGGAGAGGGGGAGCTTCCTCTAGGCAAGCAAATATGGCTCCTCAGGGGACAGGTACCTGGACCTCATCCTGAGGGTGATGGACGACAAGTGCATAGGCCAGGGCATCTTCAGAGAGCGGAGAGAAGTTGGCCTGAGCCAGCAGGGGCTTCAGAGCCTGGAGCACATCCTTCTCGCTGGACAGACGCTGAGGGTCAGTAAGGGACGGCTGGTCCAGGGTCTCCCTGTCAGGGTTGATGGGGTCATACAAGGCCTGAGGAAAGACGACAGGAAAAACAGAGAAGTCATGGCATGGGGATGTGAGCCTCTGGGGACTGAGAAAGCCCAGAGCAAGTATTACACTGCCATACACATGGTGCCACACATCTTTAATCCTGCACTTGGGAGGCAGAGTCAAGAGGATCTCTGTGAGTTAAAGCCCATAAAGAGTTCCAAGTTAGTCAGGGCAGCATAGTGAAAAACAACAAAACATTGTACAGTCAAGCTCAGCCACATCTCCAGCTTCCTTCTGAGGTCTGCCCTGAGTAGATGATCTCTCTTCCTCCAAAGCAGCTGTAGGAGGCCAGACTGGTAGGTGGAGACTAATCTCTCAGCAGCCAAGGCCAGGTCACTAGGAGATAGGTCCACATAAGGACTGAATGGAGGTGACAACCACCCCTCTGAACTACGACTCCTACTTGTTGTGTAAGCCCTGCCTGGCCTGATGAATGATGAGTGCTTTAAAATCTGTAGGTCAGAGCAGTGGGCCTCATGTACTTTGGCTAGGGAATCCTTGAAGAGGAGGGCAGGGAGATGTTTTGACAGGGCATGGGGGCATACACTGTCATCCTAGCTCTCAGGAAACTGAAACAGGAGTACGCCTGGCCTCTGTAAGACTCTATCAGAACTATGGAAGCCATGGTCCTCTCAGCAGCGGCAAAGGCCCAGCCAGGGATGTGTCTGAGTTGTGTAAAGTGATGATCAGTTAAAAGCTATCTGCAAGCCCCCAGCCCCTCCCCATGGGGACTACTTCCTCTGACCCAAGAGAGCTCCCACCATCCTGGGCCTGCCTCATGTGCTCCAGCACAATGTGATGTGGCACCTGCCTCCAGGATAGTGAGGAAAGTAAATGCTTTCCCCAGGTCTCCCGTGTGCCCTCCTGTGGCTGTACCTGACTATCTTCCCGTACAAGAAGAGGAAGGAAGGAAGGAAGGAAGGAAGGAAGGAAGGAAGGAAGAAAGAAAGAAAGAAAGAAAGAAAGAAAGAAAGAAAGAAAATGCAAAGCACTCTGGACCTGGTGCCAAGGCCTATCTTCCCATCTTCTAAAGAAGCTGAAGCAAGAACACGGAAAGCTCAGAGACAGCTTGGGGAAGTTAGCAATATCTTGCCTCAAAAATGAATGAACAAATAAATGAATGAGTGAATGAATGGGAAAGAGTGAATGAATGGGGCTCCTGAAGAAGTGCAGTAGTAGAGCACTTGCCTAGAATCCCCTGTTGAGGGTGTGGCTCAGCATCCTGGGTCCTAGGAAGGTTAAAAAATTTAAAAGGAGACAGTAAAACAGACAGACCCAGCAGATTGCATGGAAATTAAATGCTGCCACTTCATGGGCAGCCATTTCAAGGGACAGAGGGACAGCAACATGGAAGGAGTTGTTTGTCCCAGGGCTGCATCAGGACCCCACATCAGTATGTCACGCCTGCAGCCCCATCATCCCATCAAAACACCAGCACTTTGTTTCTTCTCCAAGATGCCCATGCAGTTCTAGTGTCCTCAGCTACCATCAGCTTGTCACTCCCAGTCCTCTAGCCCTCCCCTCACAGGGCACTTCATCTGCAGGTTCCTTCCTACCATTACCCCATATTCAACTCCTGATTTCACACACTGCACCCCCATCTCTCCTGACCCCCTCCACTCCCACCTGAAGGGTGACATTTAGCCTTCCATTTACCGTTGGCTTTCCCCACTTAAAATGAACACAAAGCCACCCTCCACAGCTTTCCACTGAATTTGGAATGAAATGTGAATCCTTTTAGGACATTAGAAGCCCCTCAAATCTGCACTAGCCATCCACATCTTCTGTACTGACAACCACCCCCAATGCTCTGGGGGGGGGGAGACCAGGGAGAACCCCAGCTGCTGGTCTATCTGGTCCCAGGCCAGGGAGAACCCCAGCTGCTGGCCTATCTGGTCCCAGCATGATGTGACAGCGTGACTCACCTTGGGAGAAATGGAACCCAGCCCACCATTGAGAGACAACAGGTCTTAGGGTATCAGAGCAATCTCTGAGCACGTACCCAAGGCAGTAGAAGGTGTTCCATACGGGACAGCTTAAGCAAAGGCTGACAGAGGGAGTACTGAGACTTCCAATGCCAGTGTCAGGGAGATGCCGGGTGTGTCCATACCTTAGCTTTCACATCTGTAAGTAAGGATGACAGTGGTCCCATTTTCACATGCTGGAAATGTGCAGGGTTTTCATTCACTCTTTCCATCCTTCATTGAGATTTCACAGCAATGTGCAGAGAATGGGCTGGCTGCAGGGCCCATAGGACTTGAAGATAGCAGTGAGGTCTTGAGCCTATCCAGATGGGGAGGCCATGGGCAGGGCTCAAGCAAAGTTGGCCATAGACCATGGACAGATGTCCACAATGACCTTGATAAGGACTGAAGCCTTCAAGGATGAGGGTGAGGGGAGGGACTGTATTCTTCAGGCATCACCACTAACCAGGTTCTCCTCTGAGAGCTTCAAGTTAGAAACCTCGGCATGGCATACGGTCTGGTGCACCTCCTCCCCATGGTCCTTTCTCTCCCTTCCCCCTGCCTCCCTGCTCACTCCTCTCCCTCCTTACCCCTCCTCATGAATCTGCTGTCCCAGCACAGACATGCTTTTCCCACTAGCAATGCAGATCTAACCTCCACAAGCTTCCCATTTGGTTTTGCTTGTTTGTTTTATTTTATATGTATGAGTGTTTTGCCTACATGTATGTATATTACCACATGCATTATCTGGTCCCCACAGAAATCAAAAAAAGATATCAGATACCCTGGAACCAGGGTTGTAGATAGACATGAACCACCATGTGGATGATGAGAACTGAACACAGGTCCTCTGCAAGAGCAATAAGCCCTCAAAACTGCTGTGGAATATTATTTTAACTAAGCAAAGATTGCTACATTTGTTTAAGCTGTGGAATATTACTTTCGTTGTGTAAGGGTGTGTTACTTTTATTTGTGCTGCATTTGTTTAATTATATAAAAGATGTGTTGCCTTTGTTTTACCTTGCCCACCTAAGGCATCTTAGCCAAGAGCTAGGCAGATAAAGGATAGTGTGGCTGACAGGCAGAGAAAATAAATAGGAGGAAAAATCTAGGCTCAAAAAAGAAGAACAAGGAGAAAGCAGAGAAGGAGGAGGAGAATGAGGGAGACTGACCAGAAACCAGGCAGAAGCCAGGTAACCTGACAGACATAAAGACAGCAGAAAAGTAAGATATAAAGAAAGAAAAATGGTAAAAAGCCCCAAGGGAAAATGTAGATAGAGAGAAACGGGTTAACTATAAGAGCTGACAAGAAAGGAGCTAAGCTAAAGCCAAGCATTCAAAACTGATTAAGTCTCTGTGTCATGATCTGGAAGCCGCTGAACTATCTCTCCATTCCTGGCCTCCCCATTTGGATGGGCTCAAGACTTCACAGATACCCTCAAGTCCCATTGGCCTTGCAGCCAGCCCATCCTATGCACTCTGCTGTGAAATTTCAATGAAGGATGGGAATAGTGAACAGAAATCCTACACATTTTTCTGTTATGCTTGAAGCAAGTAAGAGGCACATTTCCAGCATGTGAAAATGGGACCACTGCCATCCTTACTTACAGATATGAAAACTGAGCTATGGACACACCCAAATCTGCCAATTATTTACAAAAGCCCTTTAGTGCTTGGGAGACTGAGGCACGAGGATTGTGCATTTGTGGATTTGAGGTCAGCCCAGGTTACCAATGAGGCCACACAACAATAAATAAAGTCATTGGCCAGGCACTGGTGGCGCACACCTTTAATTCCAGCACTCGGGAGGCAGAGGCAGGTGGATCTCTGTGAGTTCAAGGCCAGCATGGTCTATAGAGTGAGTGCTAGGATAGGCTCCAAAGCTACAGAAAAACCCTGTCTCGAAAAACAAAAAACAAACAAAAAAAGTCCTGCCAAGGTTTCCATTGCCCTTGGGAAGCAGAATCATACACCTACAAGACCCTACAAAACTTTTGTGTAATATTGGTGTGTTTGTATATGACGGAGGGACACAGAACAGCTTTGTGGAGTTGATTCTCCTGGGGCTGGACTGACGTCATCAGGCTTGTATGGCAAGAGCTTTCTCAGGCTTCATCATCTCATTACCCACTATACAGCTTTTGAGGAACAACAGGTTTCATTTTATTACAAGACTTTTTTAAGATTTATTTTTAATTATGCCTGTGTGCTTACTGTGAAGCCGAGGATCACAGATGCTGTAGTTAAGATTTATAGGAAAAGCAAAAATTACTGTGTTTTCAGAAAAAAATATTTTAATGTTAACACTAATAAGCTAATTCATCCTATTTTCTCTTCAAATCTAAGAGAATGTGTTAAATTCCCACAGGCTAGGTAATATATATATATATATATACACATATATATATATAAATATAAATTTAAATTGAAAGTGCACACTATGACATATGTGTAAAAGTCAGAGGATAACTTGAAGGAGTTAGTTCTCTCCTTCTACCATGTGGGTTCCAGAAATCAAATTCAGGTTCCCAGGCTTGGTGGCAAGCACCCTTATAAACTGAGCTATTGGTCCTGCTTGGTTTTTTGAAACAGGTTTATGTAGCTCAGCCTGACCTTGAACCCCTGATCCTCTACCTCCCAATGCTGGGATACAGGAGTACACTACCAGACTTGGTCCCTGCAAGGTTAAACTTCAAAACCACATGAGGTCAGTTGCTATAACAGTGGGTCCTGCCAAGCTGCAGCAGGCACCATTTCAGAATCTGCACACTGACCTCCATGCAGAGTCATAGCCGGCTGCATGCACTACACAGACGACCGGTCCCTCTCCACTCACAAGTGGCTCTAATTTTTGCTTTTCCCCACCATTCACACTCAGCCCCCTGAGGGCAGCTACAGGCCTGGTCTCAAGGTTCAACAAAGCCCCACACTGCAAGAGAATAAAGAGCAATGGCTATCTGGTGGTAACCTATATCCTGGGGCCTCCCACCTGAGTCCTAGGTTTGCACAACCCCAAACTGACCCAGTTCTCCTGTGCAGTTTCAGGCTACCCCCAGCAGGGCCCAAATCCTGCCCACTCACCATCTTGCCTGCCTCAGTAAACAGGCCCCAGCCTGAGTCGTCCTGAACACACTATCAGGACAGTAGACCCGGGATCTAGCCATGGACCTGATCTGAGCACACAGCTGGTGACACAGAACCCAAGGCCAGCAGTATCTCCACCTGCAAGGTTTCCCCCTCACCAATTCCACTTCCCATGTCCAAAAAGCTGAGGCACAGGACCAATGATTGGGGTTGTGGTTGCAGGACTTCAGTATGCCTTTACCTCACTTTCTACTAAGAGACCACCAGAGGGCACCTGCTCACACTGCCCATAGGTCCTGTTGCCCTGTGCAAAAACCTCCATAATTACTTTTTTTGTTTTGGGGGGTGGGTAGTGTGCAAGCACCAACCTAAGGCACCTCCACCTCCTAGCACCTCACCAGGAAATCTGCCCCACCAATAGGGGTATACTCATATTCGATTCTGCATCTCTACGTATTTAAAATTTTACATAGCAGGGCCAGGAATGCTGGTACATGCCTTTAATGGCAGCACTTAGGAGGCAGAGGCAAGCAGGCAGGCACTTCTCTGAGCTCAAGGCCAGCCAGGGCTATATTGTGAGACCCCCATCTCAAAGGAAGGGAGGGAGGGAAGAACAGTAAATTTTATATAGCAAAATATTTTGAACAGAAACAAACAAAACTCTACGTCTAGAAGCACATGTGCCCCAATGACAGAACATGGTGGCATGTGAGGAGGCCTGGGACTGAGAATGTACTTGTGACCTCTGTAACCTTGAACTTTCCCAGGTCCTTCTGAGCCTGGCTTTTTTGTCTGCACAAATGGGGCTTGCAGTAGCAGAGAGGGCTGCAGCCTGACACAGTGCACCCTAGGCCTTGAAGGGGGGGTTGTTGTTCAAGGCAGGGAGGGCAGCCAGGGGCTGGAGTGTGGAGTCAACTCGGCAGTCTATGGGGTCCCAACCTCACACATCTCAAGAAATTTTTGCCCCTTACCAGCTGATGGGAAGGAAACCTAACCCAGGGATATACTTCATGGTGAGAATCTGGTTGACATGCATGCAGCCTTAACTACTTCAAGTGGCCTTTGCTGTCACTGTAACCTATAACTGTCCCTGAAGCACTCAGCTCTGTCTAATCTATGGAAAAGCTAGAGGAAAAAGGTCAGCCTCCATGCCAAGACATGACATTAACAGGTTAGACTGAAAAGGTGAGGATAGAGCCCTCATGGAGATCAAAATCCTTATAAGAGACCACAGAGCTCTTGCTCAACCCTCCCACATGTGAGGACAAGGCTGAGGGCATCAGGTGTGAAAGAGGAAGCAACCCCATTAGACCCTAGATCCTAGACACTTTGAGTTCAGACTTAGAGCCTGATATCCCTGAGGACGAACACTAGTATGCAAACACCAACCTGACAGTGTTTTTGTTACCATATCCTAGTTTGAAACCCAATCTCTTAGTCTCAGGATCATCCTATCCTTCCAAAGCTTCTCCTTTACTACAAACAGAATCTTCCAGTCACCCTCCGCAGTCCAACAAGCTTCGCAAATAACTAACTTCCTCCAGGCATTCTGGTACACACCTCTAATGCCAGCACAGAGGAAACAGAAATGGTGAGTCTCTGTGAATTCAAGGACATCCTGGTCTACATAGATTCTGGCCAGTCAGATCTACATAGTAAGACAGTGACTCATTTAAAAGAAAGAGGGAAAGAAAGGAAGGAAGGAAGGAAGGAAGGAAGGAAGGAAGGAAGGAAGGAAGGAAGGAAGGAAGAGACCTAAGTCCCTTCTCCCTGCAGATCCCACAACCAGACATCACATTTTACATTCATTTTATTTACTGGCTCTCCATCTGAAATGCCAACTCTCTGCAAGTATAGCGACATTTGTCCTGGTCTGTCCTGAACTTAAAAGCCAGCCAGGGTCCAAGCACGTGTCAGTCACTATGTGTTAATCAGACAGAGCAAACATGCATGACAAGACGGGATGGCCATCCTCACCTGCAGCCTGGCCAGGAGCTGATGGTAGTGAAACAGGGTACAGAAGTCCACATGACCTGAGAATGCCTCCAAAGCTGCTCTCTCTGCCGGACTGGAGTGGAACTCCTGGCACCCAGAAAGAAAACCGAGTTAGGTCTCTTTCCTAAGACAGTGTCTTAGTGTTTCCAGAGAAACCCTTTCACAGCAACCCACATACAAGATGAGAATTCTGGGTTTTTAAATGTTTTATTTAAAAGATGATTTGGCCAATTGTACAGAGCCAGCATACATAGCACAGGGAGAGCAGAAGGCTTCCAGATCCAGAGGCTGGGCACTTGCTCTGTCACTAACTTTGCACATTCATAGAATGTGTGGCAAGTGGCATGTGCTCTTTCTTGGCAGAACATGATCTCTCAGAGAAGGACAGGGTTGATGGAGTCAGAACCCCAGTTCTTCAAAGGGGGAACTAAGGCTCAGTAAAGCCATTTGCTGAGGGTCATGATAGGCCCATCTGGCTCCAGAGCAGCATATGAAGATTTCCATTATCCAGACAAATGTCCAAACCTACCTGAGCTTCAGTTTCCTCATCCATCCATTCATTCATTCATTCATTCGTTGTGTGTGAATTTTGACTGGATGTATATGTATGCATCAGGCATGAGCCTGGTGCCAGCAGCAGTCAGAAAAGGACACCAGATCCCCTGGAACTAGAGCTATGGGTGGTTATGAACTACCATGTGGGTGCTAGAAACAGAACCTGGGTCTTCTGCAAGAGTAACAAATTCTCTTAACTGCTAAGCCATGTTCCCAGCCCAAGTAGAGAAAATGAGACCATATGTGCTCATACGTACACATGTGTATACAAAGTCTAGCACAGGACTTGGTATACACAGAAGGTGTCAACAAATAACTGCTATATTAATGGTCATCTTCAACAATGGTAGGTCTGACAGTATGGTGGGCAGAGAGCTCAAACTCTGGAATAGATCAGGGATGAGGTAAGGCAATCTCTTAGAGTCAAACAAGCACAAGCCACTAACTACCTAGCCTCAGATGGGTCACTCTGCTTTTACCTCACCTGTAAAATGGGATAGTGGCAATCTCTTTCTTACTGGGTCGTTATGATGGTTCTACACATGACAAACATGTAGCACCGTGCCACAGAGTAAGAACTCAAAGTGTGATAATAATTAAGATTACAGGGGGGTGGAGAGACGGCTCAAAGGTTAAGAGCACCAGTTGCTCTTCCAGCGGTCCTGAGTTCAATTCCTAGCAACCATCCATTATGAGGTCTGGTGCACTCTTCTGGTTTGCAGATATACATGGAAGCAGAATGTTGTATACATAAGTAAATACAATCTTTTTTAAAAGTTTAAAAAAATAATTATGATTACAGCTTTGTAGGTACAATTTTATTATGTGGTAGGAAGTAATGATGAGGATGACAGTTATATCTATTTCAAGGGGGAAACTCATGTCCCAGAGTGCCTGGTCAAGGCCGGGAAGAAGCCGGGTCTGGAGTCCACTAGGCATCTTGGAGCTCTTGCCCCTGCCATTCCAACTCTTGCAACCACTAGGAACAAAGGACCAGGAACTACAACTCCCAGGGGGCGCTAGAGCAGTCCTCAACAGCGAGTATAGTGGCACAATCGCAAGGTCGGCTGGAAATTGTAGTCCCTAGGCTCTTGGACCACTGTGGGGCAGGAGCTGGA